TCCGTATCGCAAACCTCGCACTTCACTCTCTGATCGTGCAACTCTGCGCCTAGGCTCTCCCACAATCGCCTATTCTCCGCACGCGACACTTTGAACGCGTGCACGATCGCGAGCATTTCGCGGTCGTGTATCGGGTAATTCTTCTCGGGCGGATGCAGTTTTCGTGACTCGTATGCGATGGGCTGTAGGCCGTTGCCGAAATCCTGTAGCAGTACGGCTCTGATGGCGCTGTCACTTGCGTCTGTAACTACTTCGAATGGGCGGTGTGGGTCGGCAATGCGCAGGACGGGCGGTGAACAGAGAACAGTTTTCAGGGCAGAGAAGGCAGCTTGCTCTTTCTCCCCCCACGTAAAAGCGACCCCCTTCCGCAGTAAATCCGTCAGTGGGATTGTTAACCGGGCCATGTCGGGGACGGACTGACGGACGTAATTAACGAACCCTAAAAAACTCTGCAGCTCCGTGATATTGGTCGGTGGGTGCCACGCTTTGACCGTGTCCAGCTTCTTCGGGTCAATCTCAACCCCAGCCTCCGAAATAACATGCCCCAAAAACTCTAGCCTGACCTTAAAAAACTCGCACTCGGAACCCTTGGTCAGTAGGCGGTGCTCGTCTAAATTTTTAAATACTGCTTCTAATTCCGCTAAGTGCTGCTGCTTGTCGCGACTGTAGACGAGGATGTCGTCAAGGTAAATGATCACGCACTTATCTAAAAGCGGCCTAAACGCCTCGTTCATGGTCATTTGAAACGCCGCTGGTGCATTGGTCAGCCCGAAGGGCATCACGGTGTACTCGAATGACCCGTACCTAGTCCTAGAAGCTGTTTTCGAGCAGTTCGATGGGTCGACTCGAATCTGATGGTAACCCTCTTGTAAATCGATCTTCGAGAAGACCCGTGCTGTTCGCAGTTGATCTATCAGTTCGTCAGCGCGGGGAATCGGGTATCGCGACTTGACTGTTACCCTGTTCAGTGCCCTGTAGTCTATGCACATGCGAAAACCTCCGTCCTTTTTCGGTGTGAACAGTATCGATGTGGCGAATGGCGATGAGCTCGGTCGGATGAACTGCTTATCTAACAGGTAATCTAATTGCTTCCTGAGTTCGTCGAGCTCTGGCTATGTCAGTCTGAACTGTCGCTGTACAGTTGGCTGTGCCTCCGGTTCTAATTCTATCCGATGGTCGTGTCCGTGCTGAGGTGGAAGTCCTTTCGGCAAGTTGTCGGGAAAAATCCGTGGGTACCGTTTCAACAGTTCCTGTAGTTCGGGCGGTACTACTGCCAGCAGTTTCTGAAAATCGCTCGGCTGCTCGGCTTCTCCTACCACTGCTATGTCCACTGCGTACACGTCAGCTCCAGCGGCGACAGCCCGTTTCATCGTGATGGCATTGACGTGGACCGTTGAAGACTCAGGCGACCGCCAGCGAGGTAGTTCAACCCAGTTACCGCTACTTCGCACTGTGTAGCTACCCGTCGTCCAGTCGATTCGCGGGTTATAGCGGGTTTATACCGTCGCAGCCAATCACGTCCCAGTAAAATGTCGTGCCCATCCGGTGTCGTCGCGAGCATTTCCTTTGTAAAGTCGAAGTTCCCCCCGCAGCCGACTTTCACTCTCTCCACTTTCCTTTTCCCGTATGGCCAGCGGCGTGCCGTCAACAAAGCGTGCGTCGATCTCTATTAAGCACCGGCTAAGCGTCAGTTGCAGTTTCCGTGCGGTCGAGGTATTAACTAAACTGTGGCTGGCTCCTCCGTCGAAAAAAATCTTCACCGCTACTCCCTGTATTTTCCTGTAAAGCAATACTGGGCAATCCGTCGCTGTACCCTCCTTATTCATCCGAGCCCGATCGATAGCGTGAATCGGTACTGTGACTCGGTGAGGGTCTGTGAGGTTGGGCGAGCAGGCAGTCTCGTCAGTAGTTGGCCCAATTTCTACTGACTGCTGGCGTTTCCCTGCACCTGAGACCCCCTCCCCAGCTCTGCTCCACGGCGCCGCAGCTCCTCTGGACATTCGCTCTTGCGATGGCCCGGCCTGTTGCAAGCAAAGCAGCGCCCCTTAAACGGCGCGGCAGCTGCGTTCGTCGCAACGGCGTGTACGGTGGCGCGGTCGGTCCCCGAGGACGATGTCCGTAGTAGGACCCCGGTCTCGGTCGGCACAGAATGTCGATTTTCTCGGCGAGCGCGAGAATCTCGTTGAAGTTCGAGAGCACGCGTAGCATGATTTCGTGCAAGATGTCCGGTTTCAGCCCCCCGACGTAACGGTCCACCCGCTCCGCTTCGTGCATGTAGCCGACTTGCTCGCATAATGCGAGAAAACCGCTCGTGTAGTCTTGAACCGACCCGAGCTGCCGCCAAGTACGCAATTTCTGACGCGCCGAAATTGAAGCCGCGATCGGCTCGAAGCGCGCCCGAAGCCCTGCGCACCACGCATCCCACGTGCTGTACTGGGCGGTTTCGCAGAATAAACTCCAGGTGACGGCTGGACCCGCGGGCCCTTCCTCTTGCGACGGTGGCTTGTAGGCGCGCGGCGACGTCACAATGACTCGCCACAAGTCCATGGCAGCGCCCCTCAGCAGCGAGACGGCATATCGGATCTTCGCTGTGTCCGACTCGACGTAGTTTGCGTCGAAGAAGACGTTCATCGTGAAGACCCACGATTGAACCGTCGGACCTCCACGCTGGCTCGGGTCGAAACAGGGCGGGCGCTGCGGCTTGAGCTGCATCAGTGCCATGATGGTGTCGTCGCCACTTGTCGCCGCAATTTCCACGTGCCGACGGGCTTCGCGTGGCTCCCGTGGGCTGGGCGTCGGCCTGTTCCTCTCCATGCCAGGCATCGAATGAACGGTGCCATCACTGGCTGCGCATGGGCGCTGTCCCACGCCGTCGTTTTGTGTCGGTGTGCCTGATGAAATTATGATCGGCTCCTCCGATTGTGCGGGCGCATTTGCAAGTGCGTGTGGTGGTGCTGGGGCATTCACCATGGACTGCTGTCGAGCAGAGTCGCGTTCCGCCGTGAATGTCGCAATCTCGAGTTGCGAATCCTCGCGTTGGTGCACCAGACGATCGAGCTGCTCCTGCGTCAGCGTCGCGATAGTGAATTCGGCCATGGCGGGGGTGTCGGGCGAGCTCAGCGAGAGCCTCTGTCGTGGCCGTGCGTGCTTTCGAGCGAGCACTACGAGCGGTGGTGCTTGTGTCGCTGAGAGACGTCTACCCCCCCCAAAAAATTGAGATCGTGGGGAAGCGAAGGTGTGGATGGGGTTCGAGAAGAGATCGTAGGCTCTGAATACCAAGTGTTACGAGTGCAATTGAGTGAGCGAGCGAGAATTGCACAATCGAAGCAAAAGTACAATGAGCGACGACATGAGCGAAGAATATATAGCGAAACTACAGTGGTAACGGTAATGTGTGGAAATTGGGGTGCGCGACGGGCCTAGCGCCGAGGGTGGGAAATGCCGAGGCGGAGGTCCGGAGCGCGGGTTACCAACCGAGCCGTGAGGTTGGGTCGCGGCGTGAACAGTGGCGGGAACAGTGTCGAGGCGAGTGTCGCGAGTGGTAACGGTTTACTGTTGGGTGCTAGTGGCGGGAACAGTGGTGTACGCGCTGAGAAGGGTCGCGGAGTAAGGAAAAGGGATGTTCCTTACAACGCGTCACGAACGCTTTGAGACACAAATGTGAACACTCTAATTTCCCAAAACGTAGTGAACACACCCTAAGCTGTTCGGTTGTTGGTTGGTGGTGTGGGAGCTTGGAGTGACAGGATGCTGCAGCAGCTTGTGACTAATTCTGGTTCGGCATAACCACGCCGCACACGTAAACCAAGTTTTGGCTTGGTGAAACACGGTTTTGTTCAGGTGTGCCGTATGGCGGAACAGGTTCGTCGCACCAGACCTAAACTTGCAGCCACGTATGCCTTTCGCTGGAATTCCACTTCTCGTGTCGCCATCCCGAGCCGCGCGTCGTGAAGCCAAGCCGAGTTCCCTTGTACTGTACCGTATGCCCTCCAGCGTTAGTTGGGTGACGTTAGTCGATACTACTTTATTTACAATGTTATATTTGTACAGAGGATACTAGTCGGATTGTTGCGTCAGGAAGCAACTGCTACTACTCATACTTTCTTCAGGCACTCGAGCTATCCTTACGAACGTCGCACCTTCATTTGCTTTGCGTGTCTAAAGGTCCTGGGCCAGTCGGTCTCAAAAAGTGACGCGGGGACCACCGCAATACCAACGTTTCACTGCGATTATGGAATTCAACGGCCAGATAGAAAAGACCGCTTCCGCTCTCTTCCTCTCTCCGCACGACTTGGCCTTTTGGAGTGATCAACAAGCCCGCGGGGAATTCGCAGCCACAGCATTGGTGGCAAGTACTCGGTGACGACACAACCGAGTGTGACTAATACAGGAGTGACCGAGACGACAGCTGCTCCACATCCTCCCCCGTATCCTTTGCAGCAGGCTCGCTTTCCTTCGCGGAGCTGCTTTCGCCTGTAGCCCTCTTTGGCCGCATTTCCGTGTCATGAGTAAGTGAAAATATGGTCATTGTAATTTATGGTGTCATCTTTTTATTCCAAGCAAATACACGGCCATCGTAAACAGCAAAATACATACTCGCACAAAAGGAACAAACTTCAGTAGTAGAATGTTCGAGCTCTTAACTGGCAGAGGACAAAAGGTAATGGGCTTTACAGGCTCTGCGTACGACCCTTCTCTCCCCGCGTGTGGATCAATGGTTGTGTTTACCTTTATACGTAGTTCTCCATAGACACTTGCCAACATAATCATCCCTTTTTTTTGCCGGGCAGCCGAGTAATTTCCTATATTGGCTGCAACAGTAGTACATTCTCACAAAGGAAGTCCCTTTTTTTCGCCGGATCTTCTTTGTTCCATCGCTGTGCCACCTGTAGTCTGCAGACGCACCTGAACCGGAACCAGCAGACTCAGCGGCCGTAGGAGTGGTTGGTGCTGATGGAGATGGAGTGGCTGCGGTGGTAGGAGTGATTTTCGCCCTCTTGTTACCCTTCTGCCTTATCCCGTATTTCTTTCTCTTCGAAGGCTTTAGGTTGTCCGCGGCTTTGGAAACTGTCGATACCTCCGGCTGCATTGCTGCTGAAGCTGGCTGCACCGCAGAGGGTGAAGCGCCTCCGGTCAATCGCAATGATGGTTGTTGAAGAGATACGGTCGTGCTTGCATCGAGCTTGGGATTTATGATACTCCCAGATCCGAGCGTGATAATGCCCTCGACGCTTCTCTTTGCAATGATCGATTGTATCACTGCTGCCAAAGCGGCTCTCTCCGACACAGACGCGACCCGAGTGGGCGTTTCAGCTTCAGAAAAAGCAGGAGACTCGGGTTCGTTAAGGGTGGCCTGTGGTATTCCGGAAAGGTATGAACCATCGCTGTCTCCCGTGCCGCTGGCCACCAACACAGTGTCGCTATCGCCGCCACAAGCAGGAATACTGATGCTGGCGCTGCCAACTCCGCCATTTTCAACCCCGTGCGAAACGATGCTATCCAGCGCCAGTATTTGCTGCAAGTTGGTGGTCGATGCAGCCCCGGCGCTGTCGAAAGTCAGCCCGGTAGAATTGCCACTGACGGTAATGCGAACGCCAGCACCATGATCTGCCATGGCGTCAGAAAATGCATCAGCATGATCAGCAATAGCAATGACTTCAGCATCGACAGCGTCTTACCGTCCTTGTAACTGATGACAGCACCCTGACTCCCGCGTTGCTGCACGGCGTTGTCGTTACCTGCCGATGGAAATTCGTTTCTCTGAGCGGCAGAATCGCCGCCTTTCGTGGCTTGATACTCGGCGAAGAGAGCGCGCAGACGCTCCAAAGATCCGTTTTCAACTTCAACGTTAGACGTGTCAAGCAAGTCAACTCGATCGACACTCATCCTTTGGTGTTTGCCGATTGGTTTGCCTTGCGGTTCTGACAGCGCCGAGCCTGGAATATCGGCCGCCTTTTTAATGGCGACAAAAACTCGGTCGAAGTCCGCGTCCATATTGTCGACGGCATCAAAGATGTGTAGATTGGCCATGAGTGGGAGTCGAAGTGTAGTGAAACGCTAGCAACAAAGTCGTTTTAGGCGGATTGATGGGATGCGAGGGGTCAGTCGGAACACTTGGGGTTGACTGGCTTCGCGTGCAGCTCGTCAGGGTAGAGATTGTCTCCGGAACTCTTTGTATCTGCGACAAATAATTTTCTCATTCCTGACAGACTGGGCGAAAGGGATGTGCTCCTGCCTGTTCCTTATTTGTGCAAATGAGAGGCTGGTGGTGTACCCACGCCAGAAGGAGGCGCGAATGCGCAGCCCAGCACAGCACGGCACTCCCCCCACAAAACGTCGCTGCGTTTGCGGGCAGGGTTTCCGCTCGTGCACTGAAGGGTGAGGGGGGGAGGTACGGGGAGGGGAATGCACCGCGCTGGCGTGAGGAGACATTCGGAGGGGGGGGGGGGAAAGAGGGGAGGGTATGCATCGGATCGCATCTCCCCCAAGGATCTGGCATTGCCACGTCAGTCGGACCTCCAGTGGAAGTCCGACTATCCCCAGATCCTTTCAGCTGCTGAAGTGGCTGAAGTGGTTGTCCCCCAACCATATGGACATGTCCATGGACATGGACGAAGGCAACTGAGCTTGGTAACCCTCTTCAATCGAGATTCGTGAAAGCGGAAGCCTCACCTTGGGGTGGTGCGGAAGGGGGCTCACTCACATCACAAGGCGCTGCCTCATTCACCACTGGTTGCAGAACTGTACACCGCGTTTGTGTTTGCCGCGTGAAAATGGGTACAGTAAACTTTTGGACTATTTGGGGCTGGTGATATACACCTGACGTCCCTTTGGCTCCCAATTCTGAACAGACGCTGGGGCCTGAAAAGAATAGTGAATTTTGTGGGGAAACAAGGGACTATAAGCCGATTTCCTGATTAAGTGTAGTTCTCGTCGGCCTGTAAGGTTTGGGCAATTGCCCGACCAGCTCAAACAAAACCTACCCTGAACAGTCCCCTGGATTATTCAGGCTGGGCCGTTTCGCGAGCGTCAAGTGTACAGGTGTTCCGGGTTAAAGGCCATTGCTAAATGATTCCATTTTCCCCCCTGAGTATAATTTTCCGATATTTCCTAGGGTTGACCCGACCCCTATAGTCCCGTTTTTGGCGGATAATTTTGAAGCTTCACGAATCATTGCACGAATCAGCTCCGCAGCCAATCAGAGGCTCCAGATTGAGAAAGCCCGACATTCGGGGAAAACGATAACTTTTTAACTGTACAGTAATCGTTTTTCTTGACCGTGATTATCGCTCAATCCTGTCGCGCGGTCTCCAGTGTGCTCAACGATGACATCACGTTTATCTCGTTTACAGGGTAAAACAGAAGTTTTTACCTTCTATTCGACCCCTAAACCATAATTGATTTTGTTTCTTTTTGCCCGTTATCCATGCGAAATTTATCAGCGCGTGGAACCGTGGGACAAGAAGTTGAAGCCAGCGCGGTCGAAATCTAAGCAAAAGACCGGACACCAAACAAATTATCAAATAAACCACTATTCATGCAAATTTCTTGAACGGGACTATAAATACACGTGTATCGCGTTTTGCCTGGGGTTTGAAGGTTTCGGCATAGAGTCCGTGCGCTTCGTCTCAACCCGTCGGACTATAAACCGAAACACTTGTACAGACGTGGAGGGTGAAGGGATTGTCAAACATTATATATGTTGTGTTTGTTTAGGCTACACTAGGCTACAGGAGGAGTTCCAGTGCTTTGCTGCTGCTTTGCCCCATCTCGTGTCCATGCTAGTTGCCCCTGAGGGAGACCCGGATGCACCAGACATCCCGACCCCACGCTCTTACGCAGAGGCGATGGCAGGTCCCTACTCCTCTCAGTGGCAGACAGCCATGGACGCAGAGATGGCTTCCTGGAAGTCCACAGGCACCTACGTCGACGAGGTTTCCCCACCTGGGGCGAACATCGTCAGTGGCATGTGGATTTTCAGGGTGAAGCGGCCGCCGGGTTCTCCTCCTGTCTTCAAGGCGCGCTACATTGCTCGAGGCTTCAGTCAGCGAGAGGGAGTAGACTTCTTCCAGACCTTCTCCCCCACCCCGAAGATGACTACTCTTCGGGTGCTGCTGCACATAGCCGCTCAGCGCGACTACGAGCTTCACTCACTTGACTTCAGCACTGCTTTCTTGCAGGGCAGCCTGCACGATGAGATCTGGCTGCGCCGCCCTCCTGGCTTCACTGGGTCGTTTCCTCCTGGTACCTAGTGGAGGCTCCAGCGGCCGGTCTACGGTCTCATACAGGCTCCACGTGAGTGGCACGACACACTGAGGACGACACTTGCGGCACTTGGGTTCGCGCCTTCTACTGCTGACCCGTCGCTGTTTCTGCGCACCGACACCTCGCTGCCGCCGTTCTACATCCTCGTGTACGTTGACGACTTGGTCTTTGCCACTGCTGACACTGAGGCTCTCGCCCACGTGAAGTCGGAGCTGCAGAGGAGACACACGTGCACAGACCTGGGTGAACTGACAAGCTACCTTGGCTTGCGGATCACCCGGGACAGAGCACGGCGCACCATCACCCTGACTCGGTCACACATGGTGCAGCAGGTCCTTCAGCGCTTCCGCTTCACGTACTCCTCGCCTCAGTCCACTCCTCTGCCTACTGGTCACTCGCTCTCAGCTCTGCCTTCGGATGAGTCCGTAGAGCCGAGTGGCCCGTATCCAGAGCTTGTGGGCTGCCTCATGTACCTGATGACCTGCACTCGACCTGACCTTGCATACCCTCTTAGCATCCTTGCACGCTATGTCGCTCCTGGCCGTCACAGGAAGGAGCACATGGATGCCGCTAAGAGGGTGTTGCGCTACTTGTGCAGTACGTCGGGCATGGGGCTAGTGCTTGGAGGGCGAGACCGAGTTGTACTTACTGGACACTCAGACGCTTCTTGGGCGGACGACCAGGCTACTCAGCGGTCGTCTCAGGGTTACACCTTCAGCCTTGGCTCCGGCTCAGTTTCTTGGCGTTCTACACGCTCTTCTTCTGTTCTCAGTTCCAGTTGTGAGGCTGAGATCTACGCGACAGCCATGGCGGCCCAGGAGCTACGCTGGCTGACCTACCTGCTGACCGACTTGGGAGAGCGGCCTCGTTCTCCTCCAGTGCTGTACGTCGACAACAAGGCTGCCATTGCCTTGTGTGAGGAGCACAGACTGGAGCACATAACGAAGCACATCGCCCTGCAGTACTTCCTTGCTCGAGAGCTGCAGCAGCGTGGTCAGCTTCGTCTGCGTTACGTGGCCACTGAGGCCAACACTGCTGATGTGTTCACCAAGGCGCTTCAGCCTTGTGACCATCAGCGTTTCTGTACTCTTCTAGGCCTTGTGCCCATTGGACCTCACTTGCTTACTTCTTGACTCTGCTTGTACTGTGATCTCTATATATATACCTGCATGTTTACTCCTGCTAGGTTGTGATCATTGTACCTCTTGCTCTATTATAAACCTGCATGTGAACTGGTCTTGTGACCACTTGCTTGTGCTCAGAATTTGTGTGGAATCCTTGAGATCCACCCTGAGCTTGTTTGCCCTGCTTTGCCTTGACTGGTCTTGTGACCCCTAGTTCTCCCCCACTTTGCCTATGGGGGTGTGTCAAACATTATATATGTTGTGTTTGTTTAGGCTACAGTGGGTTAGCCTATAGGGGGTACACAATTCTAGGGTTAGGTACTTGTACTGATTTCACTGTTAGTTCAATCATTCCTGTCCGTTCATTCTTACAGGGATGAGGTGCACGGGAGGGGGAAGCACTACGGCCTTGTTCGATAGCTTCACAGTCCAGGGGTAACCACAGCCCTATCACAGTATTGCGTGGCTCGGTAAAGGCTCGGCGGCAGCAAGCATGGGCTTTAAACCTTCCGAGAGGTTAGGCGGACCCAAACCAGAACCTCAAGTACGTTCGGTACCCCTACGAATCTGGTGCGGCAATTTTCGCTGCGGACCGCGGTCCAAACACTGTTGCCCACTGGTCAAGCAACAGTACTCACAGGCAAAAAAATACTTGGTTTCCGCTGGCTGCACCAACGACAGTCTCCACCAAGCCACTTTGAAGGTGTAAACATTTCGGGCAGAATGTGTGTAAAACGTTTTGCATCCTAAAACTTCAGGTGTACAGTTTTCCCGTAAAGCAGTTGACTATTTTATTTTTAAACGCTTTTGAGGTCGAGGGTACACTGGAATTACCCATCCGTGAGTTTTACAGAGTTGAACACGTGTTTTTTTGGAATTTTGTGTAACATGTTCTCGTATCTGATTTTGCTAGAATTAATTGAATTCAGAACTGTGTAACTTTGTTTTATCCGTTGACTACGCGGTTCTGACTGTTGCGACTTGGGCTGTTCGGGCAGATGTCAAAACTATAAACCAAGTCAAGTTGCATCTGGAAGGTAGTGACCCCAGGTTCGGAAACCCTAGGCCGACTCGGCTATTCTGTGGTGGGGCTGTACAAAAGAATGCAGTGCAATCGAACAAGGCCTACGTTGGCGTGACGATGGGACAGGGCAGGGAAGGAGGAGGGGAGGGGGGGAGCCATCGCATCGCATCTCTCGAGGTTCTTGCATTGCAACGTCAGTCGGAACTCCAATCGAAGTCCGACTATCCCCAGTTCCATTCAGCAGCTGCTGAAGTGGCTGAAGTGGTTGTCCCTTAGGGACGGTTGACCAGTTTCGGTAGTATTGGCAAATCCAAAACTACCTAGAAACAGTACTGTTCTTACGCGGTTCAGATGGCGTTCACGGCAAGTTAACTCAAGCGAAGTAGGCTCAAGAGGCCCAAAAGTGCAGATATTTGGGTCCAGCGTGGCAGTTTTGCCACTGACCACACCCACTACCCGTGTCATGCGAAAGT